ATATATATATATATATATATATATATATATATATATATATATATATATATATATATATATATATATATATATATATATATATATATAAATATATATATATATATATATATATATATATAAATATAAATATATAACATTTCTGTTACGGTTCCTTGTCTTTTGCACCTTGTCCCATTTACTCAGTTTTCCTTGTCTTAGTTAACCCTTAGTGTTTGTTTGCTTTCTCTAGTCTCCAGTACTGTTTAATTGCAATATGCCACACCTGTTCCTTGTTTGGGTTAAAATAAATGGGTGGTTGTTAAAATAAATGGGACATTACCATGAACATTGTATGCATGGCTAGTTACTTAGCTAAGTAGGCTAGACAGATTGCATGGTAACACAAACTGGCAGTAGTAACGCCGTAGTACAAAACTACTAAATACTAGATGCTTGTTTATCTGATCATTATCCCATTCTGTTTAAGAATTTCATTGTACTGAGAAATACTACTTTTCTGTACATATGATAATAAACGCTTTGAATATTGAATCTTAATATGCAAGGTTTTATTCTGTTTTTGAAAAAAAAAAAAAAAAAAAAAAAAAACGGGAAAGCACTGATAACCAATAACACCATGGAAAACCAAAAACTAAAAAAAAAAAAAACAAAATACATGAGGATTGTTCCTAATCAGTCCTGAACCTGCACCTCACAGGTTCTTAATCAGAGCCACACACTCAGCCCACTGAGCTATGCAGCAGTCCAGGGAGTAGGGGAAGCACATAGGGGCTGAAGGGTGAGTGACAGGGAGGAAGACAGGATGACCAGCAACACCTGCTGGCCAAATCGGGAGGAGACATGAGAGGTAGGGTGTGACGTCTGTACAGCCTAGTGATAGAAAAATGGCACCATGGTGGTGTACAGCAGTGAGAGCAGGTTAGTTTTTAATGACATGGAAGAGACCATCAAAAATCACGAAGAAGGAATACTTCTCTCTCTGTAGGCGAATCGTATCAATGAAGAAGGGGAAAGGAGAGGGCAGTGTTCCTGTTGGTGGTCGGACCAAAAGTTTTTGCGCTGCTGAAAGACTGAAAGTCCGGAGAATCTGCCAGGACCTCCTGCAAACACTTACGGCACGTAACACTTTAGTGTGTTTCCCCAGTTCCCTAAACTGCTACATGGTTCAATGAGTTGAGCGTGTGGCTACTAGTCAATCCCTCTCTCATGTGTTTTTGTATTTTGCTCTGTAGTGTTTCATTTATCAGTTTTTCTAGTTCCTGTGATTTTATGGGTTTTGCTTTGTGCCTTGGTTGTGTTTAACCTACTGTATATTTGTTTTTCCCCAGTGTTAGATTCTGTTTCTGACAGTTTCTTAGGTTCCCTGTATGATTCTCCCAGTTCCTTGAGCTAATTATTAGTTTCACCTGTTGCCTGTTCTTGTGCCGGTCCATGTGTGTTTCCAGATTGATCGTTGTCCTGCACTCTCCCGGATTGGCTAATTGTCTCATGTCTCACTCCTGCTACATCGTTACCTAGTTCAGTTTCTGAATTTAAGTTCCTGCCTTAGTTCTGTTCCCTAGTGGGTCATTGTTGTATGTTATGATAGGTGTTGTTCATGTGTATTAGGTGTGTTAGAAGTTCCTCAGTGTTTATTTTTTGTAATTTGTTCCCCATCTGCCTTTGGTTTAATAGTATTCCCAGTGTTTTCTGTTCCTGTAATAAACCCCTGTGTTCCTGTGGAGCTGCCAGTGGATTGTCCACCTTCCTTCCTTCCTGCACCATGCCTCGTACCTGTGCCAGAACCTTCTGAGTTTGTGACAAGATGTACATAAGAAAACACTGTGTTGCAGAAATAATAATCTCTATGGGCCCTGACAACCCATTTGTGTTGTGTTTGTAGAAAGAGCCTGGGCCATTTTACTTGGGAGTAATGTTTTAGAGTTTGAATGATCTAAAGTTGGATCTATGGCACAATTTAAATCCCCAGCAAAAATGATACATCTGTTCAAGTCTGGAAGCTTAGACATGATCTTATGAACAAAGGTAGGTCATCTCAGTTGCGTGCATAGACACAGATTAATACAACAGGAGTATGAAAACGGCAACCTGAAACAATGACGTATCTTCCTTGCGTGTCTGAAACAATGCTGGATAAAGTAACCTGCTCCTCTCTATGAATTAAAAAAGCTGTTCCTCTCACCTTTGTGTTAAATTGAGAATAGAAAACTTGCCTGACGTATGACTTCCTGAGTCCCACATGATCTGTCATTTGTAGATGTTTTTCATGTCAAAATCCTGTATGTTTATTCATTTTCTTTAGGTGAGCAAGAATACGTGATCTTTTAATTGGTCCGTTCAGTCCCTTTACATTCCAACTGACAAAGTGCAAAACTAATGCACTAGTTCTGAAACAAGCTTTATCATGGATGAGCTTTTGTTTTTTTCAGCTGAGTTTTTCTCCTTTTCTGCACCAACGCACGCCATCATCGCGGCTAGTTCACTAGTGATACTAACCGTAGATCTCGTAGCCGGTGTAGACTGAAATTGTTTTTGCTTTGAACAACTCATTTCCTGCCTTGAAACCTCCTAATCAAGACTACTGCTACCATGACAGCTTTTTGTTTGTTCGGATAAATGTATCAAGTGGAATGTTTGAAAAGTTGGACAGGAGCCCCTCTTTCACACACCTCACTCCTCTATGACCAAACTGGAAGTCTGTCTGATGATTTTTAACATGAGTCTCCTCCGAAGCATGGTTATGTAGACCGTTAAACATCTTGCTTGCACAGATGGTAGTGCTCAGAGACGCCTGCCATCTAGATCAAGTGCATTTCAATACAAAGTGCATTTCTTGTAACAAAAGAAAAATCCATAACACTGGCCAGGGAGAAATGATGAAATGATATTTTGTTGTCAATTTAAATTCTTCAAATGTACAGATGGCCTGACAAAGGAAGGACAGCATCTTGAGCTGATGAAGAGAAAACTCTTCTCACGCAGAGGAAACCCACATGAACATGGGGAGGACCTGTAATGTCCAGAAGCACAGCAGCAGCATGGATTCTGCAGAAGTGTGAGACACAGCACTAACTACTGATCACCAAATGTGACATTTTTAATTCAGTCGCAGATGAGTTAATCAAAGAGGAAATGGTTCTGGTCATTCTAAATTTGCACTGATTATTTAAATGCTGTATGTAGGGGAGCAGCTGGTGGATCAGCAGGTTTGGCCTATAATCATAAGGTTGCTGTTTGAATCCAGTGCATGGCAGGGTAACCAGCTCTCTTCTGACACTGTGCTTAAAGTGACCCCAAGCTTCACTTTAACCTCAACATATTTGTGTGTTTACCTTAAGGAGAGAAAGATGTCATATGGCCAAGACAAGTTCCAATGTAATTGTACAAATGGCAAATAAATTATTTTATATATAGACTGGGAAAGCAAATTTTATAAACTTTGAGAAACTCCTAAAAACTCTGACCAAATAGAGAGTGAGAAAGATCTCAGGGCAGGAAGGACATCATATCACATTACTTCAGGGGTGGCCAATCTTATCCGCAAAGGGCCGGTGTGTATGCAGGTTTTTGGGATAACCTGTAGGTCAGCTGTTCAAACCCAGGTGTGAGGACTCTTCAGCCAATCAGTCCTCTAATTAGTAATCTAATTATGGAGTTGCAACGAAAACCCGCATACACACCGGCCCTCTGCGGATAAGATTGGCCACCCCTGCATTACATCATCCACTATGGACTGAGGTGTCAGTTTGTAATGCAAATGCAATGAAAAAAGAGCAGATGGCAGAACATACATCGACTGAGATGTGTGCTAAAGGTCACTTATTTAATGTTGCATATACTACCGTTCAAAAGTTTGGGGCTACTTAGAAATTACCTTAGAAAGTTTTTTTGTCCATTAAAATAACATCAGATTGATCAGAAATACTGTGTAGACATTGTTAATGTTGTAAATGGCTATAATATCTGGAAACGGCTGTTTATCAATGTAACATCTACATAGGTGTATAGAGGCTCATCATCAGCAACAATTAGTCCTGTGTCCCAGTGGAATGTTGTGTTTGCTAATGCAAGTTAATCATTTTAAAAGGTTAATTGATCATTAGAAACCCCTTTTGCAATTATGCCAGCAAAGATTAAAATTGTTGTGCTGATTAAAGAAGCAATAAAACTGGCCTCCTTTGGACTAGTTGAGTATCTGGAGCATCAGCAATCGTGGGTTCGATTACAAGCTCAAAATGGTCAGA